CTCTCGGATGTGATCAGGGTGGACACTCTTTTAAAAGCTCTGTGAGTTAAGTATTCTGGGATGAGAGTCACACAGCAAATGCAGATGTGATGGGGTCACCCTTCCCTTCCCTCTCAAAAGCCTTCCAGGCCCCTTACTGCCTCAGAACCACAGAGAGAAGCCCTGAACCCAGGCCACGGCCCTGCGTGTTCCCTGCCTGAGGTCGCGCCTCTGGCTGCCGCATCACCCTGGGGCACGATCCCCGGACGGGGAGCCCTGGGGCCCCCCGCCAACCGCCCGCCAGCCCCTGCCCCTCGCCCAGCTCATTCTCACTCAGCTGTTCCTCACCCTTCAGCTCTCAACTCAGATGGTGAAGAAGACCCCGACCACTGCAGAGCAGGCTACCGCCCCCCTCTCTGCACCCCAATAGAAGCCTGCGCCCTTAACACATCACGGGAATAGTTAACTGCTTCATCCTGCAGCATCTGCCTTTCTGGCTAGAATGCAAGCGTCACGTGACCGGGCTCTATGGCGTCTCGTGCTCACTGCTCCATCGCCAATGCCTTTCGTATATAGTAGGTGCTCACTGAAATTCTTTGAAAGAACAAGTGAGTGAACACATATGCTTGTCAGCAAGTGTGTGCGCGCACACACACAGAGTGCCCGTCTCCGCCTATGTGCATAAACCCAGGCAGCCTTTCAAAAGGGAAAATCCGAAATAATTATTAAATGCGACACGCTCATTTTGATTTTCCCTTCTCCGAATGTCCTCTCTTTCTCCAATCATGCGTAAGTACCTAACCGGTACCCATCTTTGCCACTTGCGTCTTTGTAACAGAGCCGAGAAGCTTTCCAAGGAAAGGAAAGACGCTCCCTTATTGGAAAAGTGGGTGGCGGGGGGAATCCATGCCTTGCCTGGCTGGAAGGAGGTCTCTGTGAGCACGGCCAAGACACAGGCCACGAGAGGGGATGGGGGCCAGCGTGTGCCATCACGGAGCTATTTCTCCCCCAAGTGCTTTGCCAAAGAAGATAAAAGCACAATAAAAATATCTTTCATTTTCCCCCTAATTTGTAGTTTTCTGGTGTTAGCAAGGCTTATAAGACACATGCTCCCAATTAGCTGCTCCTCTTAATTTAAATGCTTCATAAATTATCTCCTGTGCGTGTGGATTATCACTTCATAATGCGAGTTAGCATTTAAATAAATGGCTGTGGTGTAGGAAATTGCAGAGGTTCACTTCTGAGGCGCTGGCATAATGAAGGGGGAGGCCACGGCGGCCAAACGGGGCCGGGGGGAGGCCACGAGGGGACGTGAGGGGACGTAGAGGGGATGCAGAGGCTGCTCCGCGTTTCCCAGAAAGCGAGACCCGTTCGCGAAGCCCATTCACACCCTTTTTTGGGTCAGCATTCTCGTTTATGAAGTGTGTTTCGTCCGCTCCATCTTTTTTTTTTTTACTTTTAATTTTGAAGCAATTAGAAGCTCATAAGAAGTGCAAAGATAGTATGGAGAGGTCCCTGGTACCCTTCACCCCCCAGCAGGGAGACTTAGATAACTAAGGAGGTATCGAAACCAGGACATCGACGCCATTTCCGTCTTCAGACCTTACTGGGATTCCGCGAGTCGCCCCATCGTTTTGTTTTTTTTTTTAAGTGGGCGTTTCAAAGACATGTCAATGTGCAGTAATCACAATAATAGCAGCTAACCTCTGGCGGCCGCGGAGGAAGTGCCAAGTCCAGCTCTGAGCTCGCACTGCCTGTACGCGGAGACTTTCTCGGTGGCCGGGGAGGTGGCGGGGGGCGGGGGGATCCAGTGTCCTTCCATCTCCATGATCTGTGTGTCGCCTCTTAGGCAGCAGTGCCGTGAAATCTGGATGCTTATTCTCTCTTGAGAAAGAACAACCTGGGCTGTTTCCCAAGCGAGTCAAACGTTTTGAGCATGCGATGAATGGGATGGACCTACAAACAGGGCTATGCGTCGGGTTAGAGTCGCAAGCTCTGGGCACTTTTGTCTTCATGAGCCCGTTAAAAAATTATATATTACAAATGGATACGTTTGTTTCTTTTCATCTTCTCGAGAAAGAAATGAAAACGTTTTTTCAGGCCCCTCAAAGTCCAGTAGGTCGCTACGCCCCAGTGCCTGGTGGATGAGTCAGCTTTGCATGCAAGATGGAGAGGTTCCAGGAAACAGTGAGATCATGATGGTTGGTTAGGAAGGCCCTGGGCCCAGGAGGATCTCGTCCTGGCGTCTGTGATCCAAAGCCCACCAGGAAATGATGCTGAATGAGGCAGAAGTTGGGAAGATCCCATACAATGGCCTGGAGGGGGTGGCTGCAAACCCAGCTCCCCAGAACTGCGGCAGGTAACAGGGCCCCAGACTGGACACCATCCTTGTCACCCCGCAGCAGCCCATCTGCCCGCGGCGCTCCCTACCACTTTCCGGACCCCGCCGCCCACCACGACAACGGCCGCGACTTCTAAAGCCGACTCTCAGACTCCCGCGTCATTTCTACTTCGGGTTATTTTGACATTGTGCTATAAACATACTAATCAGGAAGGTTGGTGATGAGGGACCCAGCCAGCTCCAGGTGATACCGGCTAATACAGGTATAATAGGCTTTTTTTTTTTTTTTGTACAGCCTGAGCACTGAGCCTTTCTCAGTGGCCACGGAGGTGGGAGGAGGCGGGGTCCAGTTTGCTGCCATCTCTGTGTTCTTCCTTCAGGAGTGTGTGTGTCGCCTCCCGGGCATCCTGTTTTAAGGGGATAGTAATTCTCACCCAAGGCGATGGTACTGGGAGGTGGGGCTTCTGGAAGGGGCTTAGGTCACGAGGGCGGAGCCCTCACCAATGGGGTCTCTCGCCCTCCTGCCACCATGCGAGGAAACCGTCTGCAACCAGAAGCGGGTTCTCACCAGACACCAGAGCTACGGCACCTCGATCGTGGACTTCGCAGCCTGCAGTGCTGTGGGAAATAAGTGCGTGTGTGTCACAAGCCACCCAGTCTATGCGGCTCGGTTACCGCAGCCCGAATGGATTAAGATGCACGTGGACCCCAACCACTCGGTCATACGTCAGGGGTCGTGGCTCGATTTTAAGTGACTTCCGATGAAGGGGACTACAGCCCTTGGCCCTTCTGAGGATGGGCTGGGATTTCTTTCGTGTCGTTCCTACCCAGCTAGGGCCGCCCAGTAAAATACAGGATGTCCGGTTACATTTGAATTTAGGGTAAACAATGAATACTCAGTGTGCCCCGTGCCATATTTGGGACACGTTTATACTAAAAAAAAAATTATCTGTTCTTTATCTGACATTTGAATTTAATTGGACGGCCCGCATTTGTCCATTTGCTAAATCTGGAGGTGGAGCAGACCTCTGTCACGGCACCTATGACCTGTTCCGCGAGTACCTGTAACAAGTTTGGGGGGACCAAGAATTGTGTCCCTCATTTGAATAGCCCCAGGGCTGAGCCCAGTGTCAGGCACACACCTGGCATTGTCTGTCTGCATACACTGAGTGATGGCACTTGGCGTCCCGTGAGGACACGTGCCCATTATCTAGGATTATTTGCAAGTCTCCTTACATGGAGCTCTCAGGCCCAGCGCCGTCATCAATGCGCTCGAGGTGCGGGCGGATGTGAGCGTCATGTAACAACAATGGGTCCCTTTTACCGCCCGTTCGGTGCATGCAGGCTCTGGGCAACAGTTGAACTGACCCCTATGGAGGTGCCGGTGTCTTTATGGTCCGAACCCACAAAACCACTGTCTTCTGTGGTTCAGTCTGATGCTCTTCTCCGATTCTCTCGTAAGAGCCCTCGGAGGCAGTTACTATTGAGCAACACCATTTTCCAGCCGGGGAGACCCAGGCAAAGAGGGGTGAAGTTGCTTGCTCACGGTTGTCTAGCTGGTGAGCAACGGCTTGGATTTCAGCCAGGCAGGCGGTCATGGCTCCCAGCCCTGCCAACGCACCTCCGAGCTGCACGCGCATCGGGATGACTTCTTGTGTCTGGAGAGGGCCATTCCAGGGCAAACCAGATGTGCGAGCACCAGACCCCCCCACGGGCGTGTCCCAGGAGCCCCCCCTGGCACCAGGCATGGCTCCCAGTCGCGATGGGGGCTGGCGCTGAGCCCCTCGGAGCTCTGGAGCCGGACCGCCCATTGCTCACCTCGGCCCGTCTTCTGAGAAACCCAACAATCTACCTCCAGCTCTGGAGACGTAGTCGGGGTGCCCTGCGCGTGTCAAAACTCTTTTATAGCATTGGGACTTGTCTCTCGCAAGGATTCGCATTTATGAAAATCTTACCTGGTGAAAAAAAGTTCAATGAGCCTTTTAAGATCGATATACTTCGTTTAATTAGGGGACACGTGTGGCCCCGTGGATGCCTTCCTCTTGTCGCTGTCCTGTGTGGCTTCCCGTTGGACAGCCATGCACTTAGGAAGGCCTTGGGCATTCATTCATTCATTCATTCATTCACCCGCTCAGTCGTTCATTCAAACATGAAATTGATCGACTAGGACTCGGACCCCATGCATCCCAGGAAGCGGCGTAACTCCACTGACATCGGGACAAACGTGGGGTCCCTGGCGCATCGGGACACTGCTGCTTCATGTCCCCCAAGGACGTCAGGGATCCAAAGGCCACCCTTGCAGTGTTCTAAGCCCATTGAAACTCTTAGCGCAGAGGTTTCTAAGAACGTTAAGTCATTAAGCCAGAGGGAGGCTCGCAAATGAAGCGGCTGGGGGTGGGCTGCAGAGGAAGCACAGGTGGGGTTGCGGTGGCCGATTTTTCTGCACCAAGAACCAGTGGCGATGACAAGTTAGCGACGAGTGGGCACGCAGGGATAAAGGACAAAAGCAGGCACACGGTACCACCGTCCCAGGGCAGGGCAGCCGGGGCTATTAGAAACGCCGCAGCAAGTTTCCTCTGAAATAGTCAAAATTGGATCTGACTATTTATGTCTTTCCAACTGATCTGCTAATCGTATTTCTTCAAATTTTATATCCCTGACCCTTGTCAAAGGATTGCATCGAAGGCGCGTTTTAAGCTGCATTTTAATAAGTCAATAAGAAAGCTCAAAATTATTTAAAGCTTCTTAAAGAGGATTATATTTGATTTCTTAGGGGAATTCTGGGGTGTAGAATAGTCAAGACGCATCGTCCTTCTGAGGTGGTTTCACCTTAAGGACGTACATCATTTTATACAAAAACTTTTAACTCTTTTATTGTTGGGATAGGGAAGATTTGATGCAATAAGACTTTCGCTGCCTGCCGGCGGCTGACAGAACCTGAGGTCTTTGAGGAGGAAGCGATCGTGTTTTCGGCTTTCGAGCCAATGTTGGGACTCTCCTTTGCCGTTTGTCCCCTACTTTTGAAAATCAGACTTTTCTGATATTCTGAAGGGAACAGTCAGATTCCCCAGGAACCTGGACGTCACACACCGTGGGGGGGCGACAGGCAGATCTAGGCCAGAGCATATATTTCCTTTCTGAGTTTATAGCTCCATTCACCACTGGGCCCCCATTCAAGGCTGGTCTGCAGTGGGGAAGATCGTGGGATCCCAGGCTGGTTCCAGTCTCCCGCCTAGGGGACACCGAGGCAGGGAGAATGCCCACTTTGGGGCTGAGAAGAGGGCTGCTCTGAACTTCCGTCATCCTTGCCAGTCCCCTGTGCCCCGGTCAGGGAGACTCCAGGGGAGCTGGCAGGGGGCAGGGGGTTGTTTAGGAGCAGGAAGAATTGAGACGCCACGTGAAATTGGGCTGGCAGCTTTCTCCACACTGAATCACCCATCGGAGACACTCAAGACCCGACCGCTCAAATGTCTGGTGTGGGCACTGAGCCAGGAGGGTCCTCGCAGTTCTTGGTGAGGGTCCTCTTCCTGGCTTCCAGACGGCCGCCTCCTCCTGTGCCCTCACATGACAGAAAAAGAATGAGCTCGTTGTCCGGCCTCTTCTTATAGGGCACTGACCCCATTCACGAGGCCTCTACTCCT